TGGTGCACCTCTTCCTAGCAGCAGATTGTATAACATTTCCAAGCCCGAAAGAGAAACAATGGAAAGATACATCAACGAATCATTAGCTGCTGGAATAATTCGCCCTTCATCCTCTCCATTGGGCGCCGGTTTCTTCTTCGTGGGCAAGAAGGATGGTTCCCTGAGACCTTGTATTGATTATCGAGGTTTGAATCAGATCACAATTAAAAATAAATACCCACTGCCTCTTCTCGCCTCTGCTTTTGAACCTGTACAGGGTGCAACAGTGTTTTCCAAGCTGGACTTAAGAAACGCCTATCATCTCCTTAGGATACGAGAGGGCGATGAATGGAAAACTGCCTTTAAGACACCCTTGGGTCAATTCGAATACCTGGTGATGCCCTTCGGTTTAACAAACGCTCCTGCCTGCTTTCAGGCTTTGGTTAATGATGTTCTCAGAGATTTCCTCAACGTGTTTGTTTTTGTGTACATTGATGACATTCTCATTTATTCCAAGGACCTCCATGAACACAAGAGACATGTCCGTCTTGTCTTACAGAGACTACTGGAAAATAAGCTGTTCGTGAAAGCCGAGAAGTGCGAATTCCATCAACCTTCAGTCACCTTTTTGGGGTTTGTGCTCGAGGGCGGCCAGGTAAAACCTTCAGAAGACAAGATCAAAGCAGTTTTAGACTGGCCAGTTCCTGAAAACCGAAAACAGCTACAGAGGTTTTTAGGGTTCGCTAACTTCTATCGTCGATTCATAAGAAACTACAGTCAAACCGCCCTTCCATTAACCTCTCTGACTTCCATTAAACGAACTTTTCAGTGGACTCCCGAGGCTCAAGCTGCTTTTGAGAAACTCAAATCCTTGTTTTCCAGAGCTCCCGTTCTAATTCAACCTGATCCAACAAAACAGTTCATCCTAGAGGTGGATGCTTCAGATTCTGGGGTTGGAGCGGTTCTCTCCCAGAGGCTCGACTCTGATCAGAAAATACACCCATGTGCTTTCTTCTCTCGTAGACTCTCTTCCGCTGAACAGAACTATGACGTGGGTGACCGAGAGCTCCTGGCTATTAAGTTGGCGTTGGAAGAATGGAGACATTGGCTGGAGGGAGCTGAGCATCCGGTTCTTGTGTGGACAGACCACAAGAACCTGGCTTACATCCAGTCAACAAAGCAGGCAAATCCTCGCCAATCCAGGTGGTCAATCTTCTTCTCACGTTTCAACCTTATCATTTCCTACAGACCCGGATCCAAGAACGTGAAGCCCGATTCTCTCTCTCGTCTCTACTCCGTCGATCATTCAGAGACACCTGAACCTGTCCTTCCAGCTTCATGTACCATTGGAGTGGTCAATTGGGAGATAACGGACCTAATCAACTCTGCCCTAGCCACAGAACCAGATCCAGGTACCGGTCCGCCTAATCGTACATATGTCCCATCTTCTGTCAGGTCCCGTCTGATCCAGTGGATGCATGCCGCCAAATTCACCGCTCATCCAGGAGTGAGTAGGACAGTTGCTCTCATCTCCAGGCGCTTCTGGTGGCCCACACTCCACAAAGACGTAAAGGAGTATGTGTTGGCTTGCCCTACATGTGCCCGCAACAAAGCCTCACACCAACCACCTTCAGGCCTGCTTTAACCACTTCCTGTTCCCTCGCGTCCTTGGTCCCACATAGCCATTGATTTTGTCAACCATTGTTGATCGTTTCTCGAAGTCCTGCCATCTAGTACCCCCTCAGGAAACTTCCCACGGCCTTCCAGACAGCCCAGCTACTTATTAAACATGTTTTCCGGCTTCATGGCATTCCCCAGGAAATCCTCTCGGACAGAGGTCCACAATTCATCTCACAGGTATGGAAGGCTTTCTGTTCTGCTCTCGGTTGCAAACCATCTCTCACTTCAGGTTACCACCCTCAATCAAACGGCCAGACAGAACGAATGAACCAGCAGCTGGAATCCACCCTCCGCTGTCTCACCTCTAATAACCCCGTGGATTGGAGTCAATACCTCCCGTGGATAGAATACGCCCACAACTCTCTCCGTTCTGCATCCACTGGACAGTCCCCATTCCAGGTCAGTCTCGGATACCAACCACCTCTTTTCCCTGCAGATGAGAGAGAGATATCGGTGCTGTCCGTCAACCAACACATCCGTCGCTGTCAGAGGATTTGAAGGGAGACCATCGCCACACTCAACCAGTCATCCGAGTCAGTTAAACGTTTCGCCGACGCCAAGAGTATTCTGAAGGCCAGGAAGTGTGGCTCTCCACTCGAGACATCCCCTCAAGGGGATGTCTCGAAAACTCTCCCCGAGATTCATTGGACCCTTCAAGATCTCACGAGTCATCAGCCCCTCAGCTGTTCGTCTCCAATTACCTCAGTCCCTCCGAATCCACCCTACATTCCACGTCTCCCAGATCAAGCCTGTTTCTTCGAGCCCTCTGTGCCCACCGTCCGACTCCCCACCACCCGCCCTAGAGGTCGATGGCCATCCGGCCTTCACAGTGCGCCGCATTGTAGACTCCCGTCGACGAGGTCGCGGATGGCAGTACCTCGTCGACTGGTAGGGCTACGGACCGGAGGATCGTCAGTGGGTCCCAGGCTCGTACATCCTCGACCCTACACTTATCGAGGAGTACGAGCGTTCCTGCCCATCTACCTCTTCCGCACCGCCAAGGGGCGGTCGTTGAGGGGGGGGTACTGTTGGGAGCTGGAGAAAATCCCATCTTTCTCCAGCAGAGTCCGCCGTGGATCCTCTGAGGGAGCCTCCTGCACAGCTGCAGCTCATCTAGATCATCAGAGGATCCACTATATAAGCTGTCTTCAGACCTTGCCTCAACGCCGCAGTGTTGTTCCAGTTGGTCAGCGCTAAAGCCTAGATCTTTGAGTATCTCCATGACTTTGAATCCAGGTTGGATTCTAACCACTATCTCTGTGTTTCCAGGAAACCCGTGTCTCCTCCGTGAAAGCTCAGGAAGAGCTAACCTGCCGAGCCGACCCTCTGAGCCGACCCTCTGAGCCAAACCCTGAAGATTCTCTGAGAACCTCCAAGCAGCTCTGGACTAGAGCTGGGAAACCAAAGCTAAGGTCTGTTCAAGCTAGACGTGAGACGCTGAAGCAGCAAACGGACTCTGCTGATATACACCTCTCCAGAACCAACAGTTACTCTCCCAAAGAGAACCACAAGAACCCTCAAGGTACTATCAGAACTCTCTTGGAAATCAAATCCTGTCAGCAGTCCATAACTGCTCTGTCTCTCACGCAGACGCCGGTGAAACCGGAACCCTGGCCCGAACCAGTCAGCAGTACATTCTGTGTGTTGAGCTTAATAAACTTGTTAAACTTTCATCCTTGTGTCCGTCAGTGTTGTTCTGCATTATTGGGTCTCCATTTGAGAACCCATCATGACAATATGCAGAAGAAGGCATTATGTAAGTATCAGAACAAGTGTTCAGGAACTTTTCATGGTTTTATCATTATTATGAACAGCACTGAAAATGTTGAAATTATATTTTACCAAGCCCAAATACTTCCATTTCCTTGACTGATTTAGAACTCCTGCCATCTATAAACCTTGACGATATTACATAGCATATCTCAATCTTCTCTATCGCATTCAATTCATTTTCCAATATAGCTCAGGTAGAACTGCATCAGTTCAGCTCTGTCACGGCCCAGTTCCCCGTTCTGCTGGGATTATACTCAAAGGAAGCCATCCATAAATTCATCTCCATTATTTTGCTGCATCAGGTCTAAGGAATTACACACATTATTGGACTCTAACAACTGATGTATATCTTCAAAGAGACTATATGTTTTATGGGCAATGTCACAAATTAAATTTTGTCAAAATCACAAAACAATCCCATAAACCCCTTTTCCATCTCTGAAGTTTTTTTCTTTATTTTATCAGTGGAAGAATTTACCTTATAGAAAAAAGATGACAATGCAGGACTCCCACATGGGAGTTCTACAAAACTGATTGGCTCTTTCTATCAGAAAACATCTATTTTGTTGGAGGTGGGGGCTGGGGGTTCAGGCAAACGCAGCAAACCATCTCACCTTGGATTACAGTAGCACCACCAGGAATATTATACAATGGTCTGTGTGTCTCCGAGGAGTTCAGCTGCAGCACAGGATCCGTGATATAAGGGAACTTTGAGAGACGGTGTTAGTGTGAAGTGTGAGCCACCGCAGAGTGGGATTTAACCTTGACTTTAATAGGGCCTCTTGGGAATATGTGTGTGGTAGCTTACTGCTTTTGTTATTTTTATTTTTTTGACTTAAAAACTTAGAGCGAGGCATAGCGGCTCTACACTGCGACAGATAAAAAGGTATAATAGGTCAGCAGTATATTTAATAGATAATATGCACATTTAAATGGCTGATTAGATGTATTTTTCTTATCACATATAAAAAGAAGTACAGTACAATTTCAGTCATTACTATTCATACCTTATCTATAAATATGCTCTCTGCAGTACTGATAATGTTTTTTTTTTCAGATTTCTGTTAATTTCCAAATGTCTTGTCCCCACACCGGATACAGGCCCTTTTTAAAGATAACTTGTAATGCAACAAGAGAGCAATGTTTTGTCGTAATAAACCCAAATCAGTTTTCCTGCCAGGATATCTCCTACAATTTCAATGTCATATATTTTCTACAAAATCAGGATAAATTCAATTAAATCTACAGTGTGTTATTTTCAGTGACATCTCATGGCAACCTGCAGTAACCTGAACCGCTCCCCCACCACTTCTCTGCTTCCAACAACACGAAGGCCATTGTGGTTCAAAATGGCTTCCGCAACGTCTGCATCACCTATCTTATCAATTGATTACAAGGTTTGTTTACATTAGAGATACACCAATCAGGATTTTGGGAACCAATCAGGTTTGTAGGTGGTTTTTAAAAAATAAGTTTTAATTTATCCCTAGAAGGACTGTTCGCCGTCCTACCACTGTCATGAAGCAGGACACAAGGACCCAGTATTTAAGGCAAAACAGACAGTGGGATAACTCAAAGCCTTTATTGAAAAATACAGATCACTGTGGATCCACTGTATTAGCAGCTAGGGCAGGACACCGCCCATCACTGGAAACTCTGGTTAAAGAAAAACACAGATTAGTGACCAAGATAATCCGACGAAGGATGATTATCCATATGAGTCACTAACCTGGTTTAACAGTTCAGTCCATCTCCATAGAACGAGGTAGGATCCAGCCTGTGGGTTGCCAAGGATATGTGGCGGGCACTGCCCAGAGTGACCCAGATGCTGCAACCCCTGAGAACAAGCAGTAGTCTAAGGTCAGGGAAACAGATCAGATTAGGGACGCTCAGGGTTCCAGGAGTCTGGAGCCTGGTCAGGGATACCGATGAGAACAGGAACAGGCTGGTTCACGGTTTCAGGAGTCCACAGAAAGTTTAGGCAGAAGGTTCAGATGGGAACAGGCAGGCTAAATGGTTCAGAGGCAGAACAGATCAGGATATCAGGAACATAACGGAACATTAAAAAAACTCTCTCTCAAATGAGCCAAGACAGGAACAGAAACACTCTGTGGTTGAAAGGCAAATCAGAAACACATGCTAAAGACCCTCTCTCAACTGGTCCCCGAGAACCAGTGCTAGAACAAGAGCAACAGCATCAATAATCTGGCCACGAAGGCTGGGACTGAGCCATATAAATAAAAGCAGCAGCAGGTGCATTAGATGAGCAGTAATGAACAACCGGGCAGAGTTAGACAGGTGAATGGAGTGAGCAATTAGGCCAGCCATCAGTGCCAAGATAGTGACAGCCTCCAGTGCAGACACCGACAAACTGCCACCATCCATCTCTGATCTGCTGCTCTCTCTGCATATCAGGCTCCTCTGATCCCCAGCGGTCCTCTGTCCACCTTCAGCAGTTAGCCTATAGAGACTAGCCTTGGCCCGTTGCAACCTCCTCCTGCCCTGTATCCCTTGTCGGCTTCTCCGATGTACTGCTGTCTCCCTCATGACCAACCGCAGCCCCTCTCCCCTGGCTCTAGCACTGTCTGCCTGGCAGCCTAATCTAATCTACTGTACTCCTGCTTCAATCCTCCACAGCTAGCCTCTATGGTTGTCCTGGGCTAGCTGTAGCTACTCCCCTGCCTTCAGTTTGCCCAGCAAGCTTCTCAGATTTACCATTTTCCTGTTCAGTGACAAGCTGTCACCTCAATTGCTGTGGTTCCTTAGCTCCAGAGGGGGCCATGGCTGGTTACCTCGTATGGGTTATGCCTCTTTTATTTAAGTGATTTTCTACTACTCGTGTCTCATATCTAAAATACTATCTAACCTTACCTCTGTTTCCGAGTGATTTTTCCACCTGTTTTTGGCACTTTGACCGAAAAGTGGACCAAGTGCAGTGCAAAGATGCAAGGTAGAGCATCTGTGGCTGTTGATATAGCAACACCAAGTATCTGCAACATCAGGAAAAAGGAAGATGAGTAACTAGAGGAAAACCTGGAAGGTCAAGGCATCAGTGGTGCCTGTGTTCATTGGGGTTCTCTGGGCAGTGTCCCCCAAACTTGAGGAGTGGTTACAGCAGATCTCTGGAAATACATCAGACATCTCTTTCCAGAAAAGCACAGTTCTAGGAACAGCAAAGATAATGGGCAGAACCCTTAGGCTCCCAGGCCTCTGGTAGAAGACCCGAGCCTAGAGGAAAAAAAAAAAGGGGAGACCACCCACGGTGGGTGAGGAAGAGGTTTTTTTTTTTAAATATACACTAAATGTGTCCAATTCATACAAGTAGAGTACAATCATGCTTGGTTTCTTCAAATATTGCTACCATTAGTACTTAACGATACTATGTCATTCTGTCATATTAAATTCAAGGAAAATAAGTTGGGTTTTCATGAGTGAGGAAATATGGTAATATACAGAACTAGTTCAGTGTTTATTTGTTATTCTGCTGAGATTTTTAATACCTACATATGAGCAGATAATGGGTGGTCCACAGTGGAGTTTCTTTTTCTCAGCCTCATCACTGCATAAACAATAAACTGCAGCCAACGGAGATCCAGCAGCATGCCTGTGTTTTGCAATCCTTAAGAAGTGTCTTTTTTTTTTCAAAGAAATCTTTGATGATTAAACTACTAAGGGGAAAATTAAGCCAAAGAAAATCATTCTTTCTTGTTTATTTTGTTTAATATGCATATGCCCTGCAGTATTTTGATATTATTTAAGTGTTGGCACTTAGAATATGAATTTCTTTCTTCTTGCTTCGTTGCTTTTTCCTTTTAACTTCTTATAATCTTCTTCTTTTTCTGCCATCCCATGAGATCATTATATAACAGCCAGCCAAACATTTCATGAAACGTTTCCAAAATCTGCACCTTTAGAATAACCTAAACAGCCTGCTCGACTATACACAGCTGCACTTGAGTGTAAAAAGCAGGCTTATTCCTCCTGGAGAAATGAGTTCAGCCATGTCTTAAATAAAACCTGGTCTTTCTGGGTTAAAATTTCTTACATTTGCACAGATTCTCTTAGAGCAGCCACCCATTTTAAATCCTTTCTTCTTTCTTTGTCCCTCCACTCTTTCCTGGCTCTTTGGATACGTTCCCCTATGATTATAAATAGATTCTAATTAGCTCTTCAAGCCATGGGCTATAGAATTGTTCATCAAGTACGGGATTGCACTCAGAAGACTCCATACTTTAAAGCTTGTGTATAAGCCAGAAGAGGAGCAAACCCCATTAGCTTCAAATTGATTCTTTTTTTTTTTTTTTTTTAACAAAAATTGTCTTTCTTCCTTTTAGTTAGAGATGACTATACGGTCAACCAGGCCAAGTTAGGAAAAAGTCCTGAAAAATCAGAAGTTGACATGAAAACCAGGTTTAACATTTATTTTGCTGTCCTCATTATTGCAAAACCATCCCCAGCAGTTGTTATAAAGAAAACAAATAGCCACAAAAATGCATATTTTTTAATAATGTTCCCAAAATAAGCCTTCCCAGGATAATAAACTGATTAAATTTGAGTCATGTTTTTGTCCAGGAATATTTTAATATGATCGTGCCCACATCTTTACATTACAACTGAGGACAGTTGCTCTCCTGCTATAATGCTTTCTTAATGTCATTCTGAGACCAGGTGTTTTTCCCTTTTTTGTTTGTTTTAGATTAATTTTGCTGATAATACTTGAAACTGAGAGCAATTTGCATTTCCTCATCTAGCCCGTTTTGAGTTCTGTGTGTTGTTAGCTTTGGTATCTCATTTTCTCAGTTCAGTGCACATCAAAATTATCCTTTAAAATCTCAGTGTGGATTGGTCTGCTACGTAGATACCATAGGCTGTCAGAGGATTTGGGCTGCTCCACTAATTCAAAGCAAAAATATGCTGCTGTCTCGCAGATGACTCATCCCTCTGATGATCAGTCTTCTGATAATTACAAAAGATCTCATGTTCCTTTAAATTCTTTATTTTTACATTGCAACCGCCAGATTTGATGAATTTTGAGGAGACTTTATGAAACCATCACAAAGTATCTGATAGATAACTGTGAGGTAGAATCAATATATATGTTGAGTTTTTTTTTTTTTACCATGTTTTGGAATAAAGATCAGGAATGAATTCTAGTATAATTGTTTGCCTTAAAAAAGAACCCCAAGCTTTGAATATCTCACATAACGCTGTCCCATCATTCATCTAAACCAGCAAACTAACTGCTCAAAGACCTTTATTGGAATGAGATCCTTAACAGACATAAAATATGACTGAAAAGTAATTTTAAGCTAATTTTTCCTCAGCAATTCAAATATTCTGCAGAATTTTTACCTTATTGAAGGTATTTTGAAGTCTACACACACACACATATGAAAAAAAAAAAAAAAAAAAAAAAAAATATATATATATATATATATATATATATACTGTTTTCTCACCCCTCGTGGGGTGGTATGTGTCATCCTCAAGCTCGGGTCCTCTACCAGAGGCCTGGGAGTTTGAGGGTTCTGCGCAGTATCTTAGCTGTTCCTAGGACTGCGCTCTTCTGGACAGAGACCTCTGATGTTTTACCTGGAATCTGCTGTAGCCACTCTCCCAGTTTGGGGGTCACAGCCCCCAGTGCTCCAATTAGCACTGGCACCACTGCTGCTCTCACTTTCCACATCTTATCTAGCTTCTCTTTCAGCCCTTGGTATTTCTCAAGCTTGGGATTGCCACATCTATCACTACTGCCTTCTACTGCTTTTTGTCGATCAACACGATGTCTGGTTGGTTAGCCATCACCAGTTTGTCAGTCTGGATCTTCAAGTCCCATAGGATCTTAGCTCGGTCATTCTCAACTACCTTAGGAGGTGTCTTCCATTTTGACCTTGGGACTTCCAGCCCATACTCATGGCAGATGTTCCTGTACACTATGACAGCTACCTGGTTGTGGCGTTCCATGTATGCACTTCCTGCCTGCATTTTACACCCTTCTGTTATGTGCTGTATTTTTGTTTCAGAGGCGTCTTTGCACAGTCTGCACCGGGGGTCCTGCCTGGTGTGGTAGACCCCGGCCTCTATTGATCCTGTTCTGAGTGCCTGTTCTTGTGCTGCCATGATTAGTGCCTCTGTGCTGTCCTTCAGTCCAGCCTTTTCCAGCCACTGGTAGGATTTTTTGATATCAGCCACTTCTTCTATTTGTCTGTGGTACACGCAGTGCAGCGGCTTGTACCCTGCATGATGGTTCTCCTTCATCTTTCTTGTCCTCGCCAAGCCATTTGTCTTTGGGGGCCATCTTTTTGATATATACACTATATTGCCAAAAGTATTTGCTCACCTGCCTTGACTCACATATGAGCTTAAGTGACATCCCGTTCCTAATCCATAGGGTTCAATATGACGTCGGTCCACCCTTTGCAGCTAGAACAGCTTCAACTCTTCTGGGAAGGCTGTCCACAAGGTTTAGGAGTGTGTTTATGGGAATTTTTGACCATTCTTCCAGAAGCGCATTTGTGAGGTCGCACACTGATGTTGGACGAGAAGGCCTGGCTCTCAGTCTCCGCTCTAATTCATCCCAAAGGTGTTCTATCGGGTTGAGGTCAGGACTCTGTGCAGGCCAGTCAAGTTCATCCACACCAGACTCTGTCATCCATGTCTTTATGGACCTTGCTTTGTGCACTGGTGCACAGTCATGTTGGAAGAGGAAGGGGCCAGCTCCAAACTGTTCCCACAAAGTTGGGAGCATGGAATTGTCCAAAATGTCTTGGTATGCTGAAGCATTCAGAGTTCCTTTCACTGGAACTAAGGGGCCAAGCCCAGCTCCTGAAAAACAAC